CCCCCCCCCCCCCCCCCCCGATAATATTTTCCCCCACTGCTTATGGTCAAGCTCCCTAGTGGTAAATCAGAGTATACTGATGGTAGTTCCCATTACCCCACCTCTCCAAACAACGTTAGCTAGGCCAACCAGAACTGGCTTAGGTGCGTCCACACCAGAGTTTTGCCAGCAGAGCAATGTCAGGGATTGTTTCTCCCTCCCTGCTCCCAGCTGGCATAGCTGCAGCAGGAAAAATTTGTAATATAAACTGGGTCTTGGGTCCCTTGGAGAGAAGCATGGAGGTTGAATGCAGCAGTGGTTAGAGATGATTAACTGAGCTAGAAGGGGGACGGCGGGGCTCCCAGCCTTCCTGCTTGCTTATAATCTAAATTGCAGATAGAAACCCTCATTTTAGGGTAGTTGCTGCCAAGAGACTTCCCAATAGTTGCAGAAACTAGAAAGGGCTCATAGGAGGCCCAACATAGGATAGAGTGGCGAGCCCTGGGGAGTCGGGCATGAGGGCTTCTTTCTCCCTTAGAGCCCCCATTTTATTTCACTGCTTATTATAATTAAATGGCTGGGTTTGTTGGATGACCCGCAGGGTGAGTGGTGCCTGCTTTTTTTCCTGTCCGTCACCACCACCCAAGCCAGGGAAGTCCCTTGTGCTGACTCATAAGCTTTTACGAGGACAGAAATCTACTCAAATAAATTGATGCATTGCACACCTGTTGTTGTTTTCCTCCCAGGTTTTCACCCGGAGCCAGGGGACCCAGGTTCCCTTTTCCGGACTGCTGTCTCGGTGCTGCGCGACTCGTACTTGGATTCTACTTTGCGGGGCGGTTTTCAGTACAGCCGAGCGGTTTCGGTGGAGAATGAAGTTTTCATCAATGAGGTGAGGTTGGACGGGTGGGGATTTTGTAGCAGGACAGCATTTCCCCAGCATCTTCCATTGCCCTGGGTGGTTTAGTTGTTTTGAGAGGGGCATGAGGGGGGGGCAAGAGATTGCCTATTTATGACAAATATTTGGTTCTTACCTGGAAAGAGCCGAGCGGTTTCGGTGGAGAATGAAGTTTTCATCAATGAGGTGAGGTTGGACGGGTGGGGATTTTGTAGCAGGACAGCATTTCCCCAGCATCTTCCATTGCCCTGGGTGGTTTAGTTGTTTTGAGAGGGGCATGAGGGGGGGCAAGAGATTGCCTTTTTATGACAAATATTTGGTTCTTCCCTGGAAAGACTATAGTCCCCTGATGCATCTTGTGATGACCTTTGTCTAATATACAACTCCTGAGTAACTCCTCTTTCCAGCCTCTTCAAGACCCTCTTTCCCCTTCCCACCATCCCCCCCTGACCCTGAAGTCTTTTTTAACTAGGGAAGAAAGAGATAATGCAGCCAATCTGCAACCCCAAGACCCGCCCCCCCTCCCCCAAGTCCCAGGAGGCCAGGCCATCAGGAACAGGTTGAAATGCTAATGTGCCCATGCTGGCTTGCATGCAAAAGGAGTTGCTTTTGTGCAGATTCAAAGCAACACAGTGAAAACTGAAGGCCATGTCAGACCAAAATATTTCTCATTGCTTTTATTGGAATCCTGGCTGGAGACAAGTTCCTGAGGCTGTTGTGAGCAGAAAAGCTCTGCATGGTATTTCCTTAGCTGAAACTATGAACATGCACACACCCACTTAACCATAGCATGCTTGTCCTCGATATATATTGCTTAAAAAATGGTGTAGAAATACAGCCATCATTTGTCTTGCAGTTAAGGCTGTATTCTTGGAAGATTGTAGGTGGCTCTTATCTCCCTGGCTCCCCTGGACCCATGCACTTGCTGTCATTAATTAAACGTAGCTTTGAGACTCTAGCTGCTGAAAAATCCTGTACAGTCATTGAGGATTTGGTGTTCACAGTACATCGGGATAACCCACGATTATCTTTTCTGAAGTGGAATCTGACACGACTTTAGTAGAAATCAGTGCACTTGCTAGTTCACAGCCATGAGCAACAAACATGCATGTTCATTTGAAATCAAAGCAAACCAAATATTCTCTTAAGTGCTTGTGGTTTGCTGGACATCGAGGCAAAGCTATGCAGTCTATCATATGTTCCAGATTGTATCATCATCATAAAATGCCTTGTCATTTGACTTTTTTTTTTTACTTAAATTGAAATTAGTTCCAAGAATTAAGAGAAAATACTAAAAAAAATAGCTGTATTCCTGTTCTCAAAAGATTCTGTGATGCCATTCCCTGTAGAATTGATTTTTGATTAATACATCCTCTGCTCACGTTATACTATAGTTAAATCACTGTGGGGGAAAAGAAATCCATGTAACAGATTTGCTCATAAAGAAAAAAATCAAAATATAAAGATGTATAATCATGGGTGACCATTTGAAAAAGCAGACTGCACTGCTCTGAAATCCCATCTGAGTAGCTGAATCAGAGAGGACTTTGCGGACAGCCTGGGCAATATGTTTGAAAAGAGAAAATATAGCATAAAATGTGCCTTTCTTGGAGGGGAGAAAGGCCCAGTTGTCCTCTGCAGTGAAAGAGACAGGCAGCTCTGCCATTCAGCTTGGCTGGACACTCCTCATACATCTTGATAAGACCAGGAAAATACCACCAGGGACAGGTTCCTCACAGTCTCGAGAGAAGTCTCATCTACGCAACAGAGATTGGCTGACTTAAGTTGCCTTCCATAGCGTTGCATGTGCCCACACCCAATTCTGATGCTCAAACCCAGGTGGACCCTGCAGATCTGCAGACAACGTCAAAGGAGTCCATGAAAGATGACTGTGATTAATCAAAAGTGCACGAATACCCACACTTACAATTCAGAGGCGACTGCACTTCTATTCGAAATTTCCAAAGGGGTCCACACCTCCATTCAAAAATTTTAGGGTAGAAAACCACTGCCGTAGAGGCACCAGCAGCTGTAACCTCTGGGTTCCCAGCCAGCATGTATAGTGTCTTCTACTGACAAAAGCTTTCACAGTGAGGGCACCTTATACTGGCAAAAACAGCCAAGCATTTGTATACTTCAGCAGCAAAGTAGTAATGCCAGCTGTAAGCTGATAGGAGTTCTGGTGGCAAAACCTTCTAGGATAGACACAGCCAAGTGCATTCCTGACTGGTTGTTACTAGAGAGTAAGAAGATTTCCTTGCTAAACCTTTCTTTACCTGTAACTTTTTGTCCATATGTCAGGCAAACTAGCCTCTCAAATGTGACATGCTGTTTCCTCATTCTCCAACGGTAAAAGAGTGAGTTTAGACCAGCCGCCAGTACCTTAAACCACCATATTATTTAAACATTTTCTGAGAGTGGGTAAAAATATCCATGACCAGCCCATACTCGTGTTCTCACAGCTGCTGTCAGCAGCAGCAGAGCAATGGTAAGAGATTTTTAAGAAACGATTGGGAGAGGTTAAAGACACTTTGTCCATCAAGGCCACATTCTTGTGGGCACACCCGCAGTAGGTGTGGATACCAGGTAATCTTCAACCATCCCATTGGGTTTCACTCAAGCCCTATGCAGACGTGGAGCGCAATGAGTGGAATAAATCAACCAGCCTGCTGAATGGTTTGCCCAAAACCATGTGTCCAGTTAAGGAGGGGAAAAACAATCTTACTGGATTCAAAACTTTTATATCGTTTGTGGAACTATAGAATAAAACAATCCCTTCTTTCATTTAAGCATATGAATAAGTAAGCAGGTCAGTTTAAACACTTACACCATTATATTAAATATACTGTATGCCCTGAAGGGGGGACTTCTTTAGGCAAGGGGAGGATGAGCCAAGACTTCTGGGTTTTATTTGGATCTGTCCATTCCTCAGTCTCCCCTTTCTGTATAATGGATCTAGCACCTGACTGCTGCCCATAGTTTGCAAGGCTTAGAAGTGCACAGCTATGCTTTAAATTAAAAAGCCCGTAAACCTTTGTTTTGAGATTGCAGCTAATTAGCAATATGGACAATAAAGTTTAAATACCAATTAACAGTATGGATGATCGTGTTAGATAAATACCAATCCATGTGTTGAAAGGCTACATTCAGTGGTCCTTGTATGTCCTGAAATACCCAAACAGTGCAAGGCAATGCCTTTTCTTACTTGCTTTAGATGGTAGCAATGGGTTCGTTATCTGAAGCAACACACAGAACCCAATAAACTTGGGTCTTGACTTATAAAGAGGAACCAGTTATTACCTACCAGATTTTAAGTGATGTAATGGTTTTTCATAAATGATCTCTATAGGCATCTACATTATTAAATGCCTTTTGATGTTGTAGATACTTTTGGGGCCTGTCTGCATAGCCTCAGGGCTGTACGGTGGGTGCGTGGCACACCCGCTCTGCACCTGTCGCCACTTGGAACAGATGCAACAGAGCTGCCTTCGTGCTTGAGAGAGAAGTCACTGCCACAGGCTTACAAGGCCACCGCAATACATCTCTTATGGGTGGCAGTGGGCACGGAGTGGGTGTGTGGCCTGCTTGGGTGTAGACTCCTTGGCACAGTCCAGAGTCAGTGTACATATGCCCCCAGTTCCCCTTATTTAATGTCCATAAAGCACTTTAGAGGGAAGTGCTCTATATAACATGGCTCCCTTGGGTAGATGGTATTAAATTACACTGCCTTTGTCTTCCACAGTACAAAACTTTCTCCCAGGAGAAGAAAGCCAGTGGCTATAGTGAGGAAGAACTGGAGGAATCCTATGCCTTCCTTCTGTTTGAAAATGAAGATGGGGTAAAGCAGATGGTTTATTCAACATGATATATTTGACATCAGAGTGCTTTCACTTTCAATATGGCTTCTTCCTTACTGAGTTGTGTGTAAATGGTTTAGTTTCTCTTTGTAATCTCCATTGGTTGTGTAGTGTGAGTAACTCATTGGAGGATTTCTCTGATGAGGTGGATCTCACCATGACCCTTGATCCTCAGTGATGGACTTGAGTCCATCTTTGGACCTTTTTGACACTTTTTTTGACCTTGAGTCCATCCTTTTTGGTGCTCTTTTTGACCTAGTGTTGTTGTTAGGGTTCGAGTAATAGCAGGCCCTACAGCACTGTACAGACGCATGAGAAAGCATCTCCCATAACCCAGTGAGTTTGCAATTAAGCACAGGCTTGAGCACCACAGCTCAGGAACACCCGCAGAAGACAGGAGCTTACTAGTGTGCTTTGGAAGAAAGTTGGGGAGGCCTACACAAAGAAAAAAACAAAAATGGCTGCTGATGTGCAGTACTGGTTGCTGACTGCCAACTTTCTCACAAGTCCTTCATATAAATGTACTTGCTCTGCGTTAAGTCTTTGTCTGGTTATGCTAAGGAAGAACAGTCCTGTTGTTCTTTAAATTCACATCCTAGCCTTTTTGTAGTAACTTCTCCATGAATTCCTCTGTAGCCAGTCCCTTCCTGAATCAAGCAAGTCCAGGACTTCATTCCTCTTGTTGCAAAGGCTTCTCTGGCAGGGTGGAATTTCCCAGCATTTCCCTTAGCCTTCTCTGCACTGCTTGACAATAAGATGTTGGCTCCTATGTAATTAAAACCTTTCATAACAGCACCTGACAAATGAATCTCATCAGTTAAGACCTGACACATAGCCAGGAGCTCTCTTTCCAGCGGTTTCACTGAGCATGAGAACGCTCTTTAGTTGTTCCATCGCTGGTGTCTTACAGACGTAATAAGAATTAATTGATCTGCAGTACTTAAAATGTACATATCTGCTGGCTGAAAGCATGTTTGCCAAGTGTTGTAACTGTGGCTTTTGACAGCCAAACACTGCATCTTTAAATCGGAGAAATAAATGAGATTCCCCCTTATTTTGAAGGCAACAGAGGTGTGTCGGACAGGACTTTGTACAAACACCAGTTCCATGACCACGCTGGGTGATCCAGCAAAAGGTAAGTTTTAAATTCAGATGAGAAATGCTCTTCAAGCAGTTCTTTAAAAAAAATAACCAGAAGAACTTGTATGACCATATTTGATTTATTTGGAAGATCTTTTAAAAAAAATCAAAACAACACCTGGTATTTCTTATTTTTAAATCGCATTCAGTGATAGCAAGGAGTGTTGTTTTCCTCCAGTAACCTCATTATATATGAGTAGTGGTGATACCTTTGGAAGTGACCACTGCTATTTCTGTCTTTTCTTTGCCATAAGAAATGGCAGCTGAGTTGATGTAACACATTGGTGTTTTGTTATGTTCCTCTGCGCTTACCTTTTTATGTATCCAAGCCCCTTAATGATCCATGCATTCTCCCTGTTGTTACTGCTTCTAAGAATATTGTGCCTAAGTGATGGTAGGGCTGCACACTGAACAAATCTCAGAAAATACTTGCCCTTCTGCCTCACACATCTAAAAGCCTAATCCTGCAAAGAATACCAAGCACGTGTTTACTACCATGATGTATCCTATTAACAACCAACAGGACTCTTCCTGGTAGTAACTACCAGGCCCTGAAGTATTGGCCTGGTAGCAATATTATATTATAGGTGTCAATAACAAAATGACAGAGGTAGTTAGTGCTTTTTTATCTACATATATGGCTTAATCCCAGTGGATTGTGAAGGATATTTGGACATGTATAACCTACCCCCATGTCCTCCCGAAAAATTGCATATCAAAAGGAAGTGGTTTGCTGCGTATGCTTCCACCCCTGCGGAGGGGGATGAGAGAAGAAAGGCTGTGTGTCAGAGATCAATCACATTGCTTCAGGCCCTGTTGGAAGGTGATAAGAGCAATATAAGACCGTGTGCACAATAGACTAGACTGAGAAAAAACTTCCAAACACATTATAGGAAGTTAGCATTCACTTCAGGGAAAGGAAGGAAAATGCTCTGTGGATTTTTACTCTTGGTTAATATTCTTACGGCTAAATTTGATTTAAAAAATAACAGGCCAAAAATGTTTTTTGTGGTCATTTTTGTTTCAGATTTTATTGAAGGACCAAAATATTATAATCTGACACTTGGATTTATGTGTTCTATTTTAAATAAAACAGAAGTAGGCAACAGAGATTAATTGAGCCAGTAATATTCAGAGCTAGACTTTACTCACGCAGCAGTAGAGTAGAGCAAACGCATAAATCAGAATTTTATATCCAATGTTATCAGAAAGGGTTCCAAAAAATAGAATCTGAGAAGCTGACTTTTAAAAATTGGAGTTAAGGAGGCATATGGGCTGCCAGTATCTTATTTCATTTTAAATTATTCCTGATAACTTCTCCCTGATAAATGGGTTTTTTTCCCCCTCTGAAAAAATATAATACTAACTATAGTTCCTGATCCGGGAATTGTACCTTCTAGATTCATTGGAGTTGGTCAGGGGGAAATTTGTGAAGTCCAGTGATGAATCGCCGTGAATTTAGACATGCACTTTATTTTGGAGAGTCTGACACATGCCACAATAAAAAGTGCCAAAAATTGATTTCTTAATGCTTTCATGTCCTTGGCCAAATACGTTTTAACCTAGTTCCTTGAAAATGAGTTAAGATGAGTTTTGATTTCATTTTTTCTTCATGTTTTATAGACTGGGGGCAGCCAGGAAACTGTCCATCTAAGATTAAATAGACTTTGAGGCTCCTTTTCTTCTACCTCAGGTTTTTTTTTTAGAAGGCTATATGTAGTCAGTGAACCAGAAGCTATTGTTTTCTGCACTTTCCTAGTAATCAGTGTCTTGACTGTTGCTGGTGCTGATATGTCTTTAGTGAAAGTGCAGTTGGATTTTCCCATTAAGGGCAAAGGGTAGAATCACAGAAGAATAGGTGACCTATTCTGCGAGGTCACCTGGTTCAACCCCTGCTCAAGGTATGATCATCTCTATCCAAGCCATCCTGGACAAGTGTTTGTCTAACTTATTTTTGAAGACCTTGGGAAAAACCTTGTTGCACAATTACCGGATGCAGTGCCGGAAATGTCAAAAACAACCTAACTTGCCACAGGTAGAGCGCAGGAGCAGTACTTGTGTCCTGCTACTGAAGCTCATTAAAATCCACTCAGGATCCAAGGAAGAGGCCACATCCCCGACTAGCAGAAACCAAAACCCCACAGAAGTCCATCCTTCCTGATGCCCAGTGTGGGTCAGTCTGACCTTGAGCAGAGGAGCAAAACCCTCTAGCCAGGCACCTCTGGATTTTTTAAGCCCAGGAGGAGCATGACTATACCCCAAATTCCTTGGTTGTGATCAACACCCAGTTCTTGTAAGGCAAAAAACCCCCCACTAATACCTATAGCAACAGCTTTCATGTAAAGCTCCCTTTTCTCTTGTCAGCATTTAGGGTTATTTTACATCAAGGCTAATGCAAAGGCAGAAAGAGCAAGGGAGGGAATTATGGTAATCTGTCTTGAGCCAGTGACTTTTTCTTTCCGTTTCCCTTTATTTAGCCTGAACAACAGCTGGATGAAAAACAGGGGGTCACCGAACACAGCTGGCTGAACTTTTTTTTAGTTATGTAAATTCCAGATTGAAAGCTCAGCCCCTGTTAACCCCTTCGGTTCTAGGCTGACACGAGCAGCTCTTTACACTCCCTTTCCAATGCAGTTGACCACATGTGGCCCCAGTCTTTTAAATGTCAAGTTATAAACAGTGGGGTGACTCACAGAGCCTAGGCTTGGTAGAAAAGGAGGTATATTTAGTCAGCCTTTCCTATAATAACGGTTGCTCTGTCCATAACCCTTAAATAAGGGTTTTATATGTGTATACAATTATATACGTAACAATGCACATACACTGTGCTGACCAGGAAAATATGGCAGGGTGCAGATGGCAGATTCTAAAGGGGATTATAGGCTTGGCAATGCTACACTCGCTAGAACCATGACTGAAGGAGACTTGGGAGTCACGGTCAACCACAAGATGAACGTGAGCCACCAATGTGATACTGCAGTCAGCACAGTGAACAAAACTCTGACTTGCATGATGCATCTTAAGCAAGACTCAGGATGTCATCCTCCCGCTGTATTCGGCCTTGGTGAGGCCGCAGCTGGAGTACTGCATCCAGTTCTGGGCTACACAATTCAGGAAGGACGTGGAGGAGCTTGAAAGAGTCCAGAGGAGAGCCACACGCGTGATCAGAGGGCAAGAGAGCAGGCCTTATGAAGAGAGGCTGTGAGCTATGGGACTTCAGCCTGGAAAAGCGCAGGCTTAGGGGTGACTTGGTGGCAGCCTATATGTACATCAGGGGGGTGCATCAGGATCTGGGGGAACACCTGTTCACCAAAGCACCCCAAGGGATGACAAGGTCCAATGGTCACTGTCCGAGCCCCCAAGGCCTGGAATAGACTCCCCCAGACATGGTTCAAGCACCTACTCTGGACACTTTCAAGAAACATTTGGATGCCTATCTTGCTGGGATCCTTTGCCCCTAGCTAACTTCCTGCCCTTTGGGCGGGGGGCTGGACCCCATGATCTTACGAGGTCCCTTCCAGCCCTCATGTCTATGAAATCTATGAAATTTTTGACTGATAATTTAGTCCACTTGGAAGTGATGGTCTGTGTTGTGTGAGGGTCAAGAGTAGTCTTATGTAGAATTTAGATTATGGTTTGTATGGGATGGTTTGGATACGGATGATCCTGCCTCAGGCAAGGGTTGGTGGTCCCTTCTAGCCCCACTTCTTTATGATTCTAGGATTCAATGTACTTACTCTCCAGACAATTGTAAGGGTCTCCTGACAGGGGAATAGTACATTAATGGTGCACAATAGCCAATGAGCTTTAAACTCACCGCTTCACTTACTTTACTTATTTTGGAGATGGGCTCTCACCCTGTTCCATACAGACAATATAAGGCAGGGTCCACAGCCAAACATCAACGAGCATTGTCTCAGCCCATTAAAAGAAGGGACACTTCCAGGTAGCTTCAGTTCTAAATGAGGGGTTTTGCTTTTCAAAAAAAAAAAATCGTTTTCTGTAAGACTGATGTGCTTTTCATGAAGACTGAAAGGTTCTTTATGATTCCAAATTCCTCAGAAAATAACAGATGCCATTTTGTTGGTTTTTTTGTTTTTTAAAGGGGTTTATATTTCCAAATATTCGGACTGTCTTCATCCATGCCCGTGGTATAATGGCAAATCTGGCTATATTGTGATTTGCAAGCTAATTAAGGTAAGACTCGATCGCCTTTCTCATTTCAGGATTAGCTCATCAAGAATTCCTTTCCACAGCAGGTAACCCTGAAATGTTTTGAGTAGGGGTGGCATGTCAAAGCATTACCAGACATCGACAGTATCTATAGCTCTTTCAAAGTCCACGATGTGTAGGTTGCATTGCCTACAGTCTAGGAGCACGGCATCCTGTGAGACAAGGTCAGAGCTCCTTGGTCCCACCTCAGAAGGATGTAAATCAGTGGGAGATGTGCCTGCGGAGGGCTTCCCATCTAGGTACACAGTGTATTATGACCCTGTGGTAGCTGAAATGCGAACTCTACTCTGGGATGCGCCCATGGAGCGGGGATTGGAATAGTGCATGGACCCGCAGCTGAGAACCAAACCACCCCTGTTGCTTATGCTTAGCCCCTGGCTGGGCGCACAGGCCAGACAAGGTTGCCAGGAGCACTGGTTGGGGCAGGGGCTCCTGGCTTGTGCTATCCACGCTCCCATCCCTGTCTCCTTTGCTTGGAGGGACTCTGGCATGCAAACCCCACTGCATTCCTCACCGCTGCTCCAGGAGCTGCATTGAACTCAGCCACTGGAGCTGAGGATCCCTTCACTGAGGGATTTTGCCCACGGGGAGCTCTAAGCTATGAGGGTGGACGGCAGTGTTATTACAGTGTGGTTCCCTGGGCTGGAAGGGTTAATGACAGTGCTAATTTTCCCCTCCCCTTTAATGTATTTGTCACAGGGGAAGATCAAGGCTGTCCCAGAGAACTACACAAGCAGTTACACCAACCCGACTCCCAGCTATGACTGCCATGTCGCTAAGAATGGCAGCTGTGTTTCCTTGAAGACGAGTCATTTTCAGGCCTTCGAGCTGAGTCAGGTACAGCCATTCACAGGCCCCTGACAACCCTGAACCCAGGATGGGAGGAAGCACTGAAGGAAGGCTCCACTTAAGCCAGTCCCTCTTTCCCATCTGTTTTTTGTTTTTCCTTCCTTGCCAGTATTACGTGTATGAATGTTCCAGCCACGGTGTTGCTGAACGCCCTAGGCAGATCTGCCCCTACATCATTGTGGCCTTTCAGTACAGTGAACATCTCTCAATGTCAGCGTTAGATCCCAGCACCACGTAAGCACCTCCTGAATGCAGGGTTCAGTCCCTTCAACTTGCAGGTTTTTTTCCATTACCATTTTTAAACATTCATCTCTTCCTTGTTTTTTTTTCTTTAGAATTGAACTAGAGAACAAAGGTAAGACAGCCTCCCATTGAGGTAGGTTCTAAAAAAAAGAAGTTGCCTTTCTCAATTTGCATTTTCTTTTTATTTTCTCTTCACAACTCTCTCTCTAATTGTATTTGTAGTATTATACTGCCCATGGAGGGGGCAGCTCTCTCTCCAAGGGCAGATTTTATGCGACATTGCCCTCAAATCACCGTATAGCGCTGTGATTCCAGCACAACTGTAAGTCAGAGCCTGTTTTCTTTTTCTTTGGATGCTTGCATAGCAGTAAGGTGGATCATAGAAAAGTATGGCTGGAAAAGACCTCCAGAGGTCATCAAGTCCACCCCTGTACCTGAAGTTAGGAATGGGGAACACGCCTTCTGGGGCTACACTAAAACCATGACAGTGGCCATCACAGATGCACCTATTGTTAGAGGTTAGCAAAAAGGATGATTTCCAGCCCCAAGGGGGTTTAGAAGTAAAGGGTTCCACCATGAGCTGAACTGTGCACAGGACAGTAGGGGATAATAAGGTGGATCTCATGTGGACTATATTCGTTGCCTGATATTTCACAATATATGAGCATGAGGGGGAGCCTAGAAGGGGAGCAGTCACAATCTCCTCTGGGAAGGGGTTTCACTTCCTTTCATACCTCACCTGTGTAGGACAGGCAGGGGAAAAGAGTAGGCAAGGGCTGGGTTCTTCTGCCTAGTGTCCATGTCCTGTCCAGCACAGGTGAGCTGGAGACGTAAGCTGCACTGAGAACAGGGTGGGTGGTGTTTGATGCTGTTAGGTTTTTGAATATTGATCCCTCTAAGTTCCTCCTAGTTCTCTATTTTTCCTATGGCCAACACAAGTTTGTAACAACACTGATGAAATCAAACTTGTGTCCTACACAAGAGCAGCAGTTCTCAACTGGGGTGTCATGAGATTCTTTTGGGGTTGTCACAATATTAGCACTGTGAGGTGTGCAAACACCTACACATGATTCACAAGATAAACCCAGAGATTTCAAGCAGGAATCCAGTGTCACAAACATTTTGACCTTTTGTGGTGTTTCTGAGTTCCTTGCAATAGAAAAATTGCTTGTTTGGGGGGAATTTTTCCCCCTTATAGTAAAAAAAAATGAGTGAGCTGGCATTTTCTGAGTTTAAAAAGGTTGAAAACCATTCACTGCACTAGAGAGATGGTGAATGAGATATCAGATACGTAAAGAAACATAACAACGCATATATGGTCAAAATTGACTTTGAAGACTTTAACAAGTTTAAAGGGTTATTATTTTGTCTTGTGGTTGGAATTAACTCACCATCTCTTCTGGGGGTCAAAAAGGATTTTTTTCCCTTCAGATTTATGTTGAGGGGTGTATGTTGCTCTCCTGACCGGAGTAGTTCTCCATTATTCAGCTTTACAGAAATCTGCTAAGCTCAGGTTCAGCATTTGAGCTAAAATGGGAAGCACTGGACACATGCCTTTGGTCTTCACTGCTTTTGCTCTTTTTTTCTAATAGGCCACCCAAACTGGAAATCAAATGTGTCATGGGCCTCTCTGATTTGAAAAAAAAGCTACCAGAAGCTGCATTCAGGAAAAGTAATTACACAGAAAATGAAGGTATGTGTTCAAATCACTCACACAGAGTAACGTATTGTTATTTCATTGTTCTCCTTACATGGTGTGATGTTCCTTTGAAACGGTCTGTTTTAGGGCTGGTCCTGTGAAACAGTGTGGTACAAGATGCTTCTTGATAATCCAGGTCCAGTCTGGCAAGGGTACCATGTACCCTTAACTTTCACTGAGCTGGGGGATCACTGAGCTTAGTACACCCTACATAAGTCACTCAGTCCTGAACCAACAGGTGCAAACTGGCAGCCAAAGTGTAGGCTGTTCGTACAATACAGCAGGCTTTAGTAAGCCCAGACAAAAGAGTCTGCTGGGAGCTGTGTCCAGTTTTTTTGCTGGAAGGAGAATAACAGTGGCTCTGGGCCTTTCTAAGAATTAAATGAGAAGGAAGGCCTACAGGGCTCTGGGGAGACTCAGAGGACTCCATCTTAAATAAAATATTGCAGATTTTATCAGAGCAGATTTAAGGAAGGGAAAGATCCAGAGGTCCTGGATCCTGGCGAGCGCAGTGGTACTGTTGCAACCCCCAGCCTGTGGTTCCTGCTCCACCCAAAGTTTAAACCCAACTGCCTGGCAGGGGTAGCAGCATTTCTATTCAGGCAGCTGTGAGGGAGTCCATTGACTTCACGGCTTATTGTTATCTAGCTGATTCCTTCTAAACTCTTCGTTCCACAGGTGTTTATGACCTTCTCTCCTTTTTAGTGGTCTTGATGTTCCACTAATCAAGTTAACCTTTCTTTGGCAGTTCTACTGTCTATTGGCTCCTCTCAGTAATCCAACTCCTACTTCACAGTACTGCAGACTATTTTTAACTCTAGCTAAAAATATTTAACTCACAGGTGGAAATGTTAACTCAGGTGAACGTTTAGTCGGGTATGGAAATAATGTTTCAGTGAAAATATGCATGCACTGTCCAGATGCTCAAGAAGGCTAGATTTTGTTTAATGAATCTGGAAAGGAAATGCACATTTTATTCTAATGACTATAAAACTAATGAAACACTATCTTTTGATTACTTTGGCCTAGTTTGTTGTGTTTTCTTATGCACAATACATGATATAGCACGTTAATACACATTCCAATTAAGTTACATTTGTTTTTCCTTCCATTTTAAGATGCATAATATAACCCTGGGCCCCCAGCATATTAACCCCAGCATAGGCTGGGGAATTCCCTTCTCGAAAGCACAGTGGCAGAAAGATCTTGGAGTCATTATCGATTCCAACATGAACATGGGCCGTCAACATGAGGTCAGTAAGGCCAACCGCACCTTGTCGTGCATCCACAGATGCATCGTGAGCAGGTCCAAGGAGGTGATCCTCCCCCTCTATGCGATGCTGGTCAGGCCATAGTTGGAGTACTATGTCCAGTTCTGGGCGCCGCACTTTAGGAGGGATGTGGCCAGCATCAAGAGGGTCCAGAGGAGGGCCACTCACATGATCAGGGGACAGCAGGGCAGACCCTACAAGGAGAGGCTATGGGACCTGAACCTGTTCAGCCTTCACAAGACAAGGCTGAACCATTTTATTTATGTGGCCATCCATAAACTTACCGGGGGGACCAGCAGGGAATGGGAGAGACTCTGTTCACCCCTTCCAGAGTAACAAGGAATAATGGCCATAAGTTGTTTGAAAGTAGGTTCAGGCTGGACATTAGAAGGCACTACTTCACAGTCAGGGCGGCTAGGATCTGGAACTAACTTCCAAGGGAAGTTGTGCTGGCTTCTACCTTGGGGGTCTTTAAAAGGAGGCTTGATAATTACCTAGCTGGGGTCATATGAGCCCGGTATTCTCTCCTGCCCAGTACAGGGGGTTGGACTTGAAGATCTACTTAGGTCCCTTCGTCTATGAATCTATTACCCTGGGCCCCCAGTAAAGCCTCTAGTTTCTATTTAACTGGAAAAAAATGTGCTGTTATATTTGATGATGGATCACATCTGCACCCTCCCTTCCCCCTTTTCAAAATTCTGGATCCAACCATGGAAAGATCCACGCCTCTAGTGATTTTACCACTCTTGTTATTTATAAAAGTGCACATGGATACACTATTTCTCTCTGATCCACTAGTGGGGAGGAAATGAGAGTTCAGGTTTCTTTCCAGTGGGTGCGTCTACACATGCACCGTTGCTGCGCAGTGACTTAGATTACTGTGCACCCACCGAAAATTACTGTGCAGTACAGGCACACTTCTACAGGTGTGTTCCCGTACTGCGCAGTAACTATGGCGACTTACACCGACTTGGGTGTAAATTTGCTACCTGCATGATGCACCTGAGTAGTTAGTGTGCAGTAAGATATGTGCAGACGCCTTAATGCACAGTAACCCTGTTTGTGTGGACTGGTGTGGGACTAACTTTAGTCCCACATCAGTCCACACACAGCACGACTGCACTGTAATGCCTGCACATGTAGACGTCAGCATAAAAGCTGCTTACTGCGCAGTAACTTACCGAGCAGTAAATGCATGTGTAGACATGCCCAGTTTTAATCTGTTGGTGTCTTTTGATGTGGAATTTTGACCGCACGAATATGGTGAAAAGAATTGTAGAATACAATACCACCTGTGCCTGATCAGAGAGAGAAATATTGATTTCAGAGGAAAGTTTTGCTGTGGATTTTGGTAGGAGTTAGATCACCACAGATTTCACTTCACTGTGGAATCCAAGATAAGAAAGAAGCCTTGGTGGTAGGAGCAGCATTCATGGGTATGTTATAAAAACACCACGTGTTGTACACACTTCTGCAAAGTCAAATTTAAGTATATTATGTTGGGTTTGCTTGTTGCAGTGTTTTGACTGCAAACTTCCTCTTAAAACAGCGATAGCAATGGATTGTCCCTGTCGTGAATTTATGTAACAGCTTAAGAAATCTGTCAGGTTTTTTTACTTACAAATTCATTTATTTATTTAATTTTGTCTTACTTTTTGTCCAAGGGGAGCTGGACCCGATGACCTGCAAGGTCCCTTCCAGCCCCTAACAATCTATGAAAAAAGAATTTAATCCGTGGATTACTTAGAAGCCATGCTAATTTTTGACTCTTTGTATGTCACGTGTTCATTTAAGTTTGTTTTTTAAATGCATAATCTGCGTTTTCTCCCCAGTCTGTTATCAAGGCACTTACTTCAGTTTGTTCGAAGTGGAAATATCAAACACAGTTCACCAAAAAATGGATCACTTATTAGAAACCCTAAAGGAAAAAGAGTTGGTAAGAACATTAAGTGATTTTCTTTCACGGGAAAATGGCCTTTATTAATTGAACACAGATCCTTAGCTTTGGGAGAAGCATTTCCAGGTCTGTCCCTAAATAATGTGAATAAGAGTCTGTGTGGCTTAGCTCTGAGAAGTAGCTGCGAACCGCCTCTTAAAACAATGATATCAGTCTAGCAGGGGTTGCTTTTTATGGAAACTGTTGATGTTGGCAACAGATTACAGAGTTTAAACTACAAACTGATTTCCAGCCTAAGTGAAATACCCCACCTTGAATAGAATACCTTTTATTAGACCAACTCAGATAGTTGGAAAAAATTCTTCTTTGCAAGCCTTCAGGTATAAATACCTGTTGTCAGGCTGAGGAAGGGTATTTATACGGTGTGTGCTCTTCCTGCATGCTCTTGCATCTTCCACACACCAACTGCAGATGCTTCCTCAGCCTGACGAAGGGTATTTATAGCCGAAAGCTATAAATTAGACCATTTGAGTTGGGCTAATGAAAGATATCAGATTCACCCAAAGAACCTTGTCTGCCTATGTCCTTAGACCAGCACAGCTACAACCTATACCCCTGAATAGAAAGCATTATTCAAGGTAGAGCCTGTCTAGATCCGTACCCAACCGGGATTGTTTTAAAAGGTAGAATTCAACTGGGTTTTTAAAATCGCATGTATTAGTTTTCCTTGGACAATGAGGACATTTATAGATTAGGCTGGTGGAAACTGATTTAAAAAAAAATGACCGGCCATTGATCAGGTGCCTTGCCTTTAGAGTTCTCCTTTATACCCCCGCGGTAGCCATGGTCCAGCCAGATATTTGGCATGTATCTTCACAAAGCTGCCTTTGCTTCCTGAGCTCTGAAGCTGTGAAGACCAATCCATCTTCTAAAGGGAAATCTTCCCCTCTACTGTGGTATGTAATCCTGGACCATGTCTTCTGCAGAGGCTTTTCACAGAGCTCCAGGCTCACTCTCTCTGCCTAGCCTGATCTCTAGAGTGCCACAGTAAGGCATGATCTCTGCCCTCCAAGTTGGTACTGTCGTTTTTGGTTACTGACCTGGCATTTGTGGCTTTCTGGGGTTCCTCCACCCCATTTTGGGTTTTCTTGCCAGTCACTTTCTCTAAATGGGGAGTTCCTTGACTGAAGAGCAAGGCAGCCTGGTGTAAATTGGCTTCAAGTGAGGCATGCTTTTGCCAGTTGAGGATCTGCAGCCCCTTCTTATTGCTCTCAGAGACTGAATGCATTGGTGGTTAGATTTAGGGCCTGAACATAGGTTGAAAACTTAAAGGAGCCCCTGAGGTGAAGGTGCCACAGCAATGTCCCCTCCAGCTTGTAAATTGAATGCAAATGATAAAAGAAGAGAACAGGTGTTTCTGCAGCTTCAAACTCCAGTCGCATTGGACTGCAAATTCTTTTCTGTTTCCTTTTATTTCAAGGGGGAGATGACACGCTTTGCCCCACTCTCCTCTATTACTTCTGATTTGAATTTCTATTAGTTCATTTTGATGGTTTGCATTCCCTGGTATATAATGGAAAGTGAAACTAATATTACCAGCCTCATTGTTTCACTTTCAGCTGTGTGCGGGCAGTGCTCTTCGTGCAGCCTAGCAGTGAAAATGAAAGCATCTCAGGGGATCCCTGTCACGGTGTGAAAGCCCAGCTGCACCTAGGTTGCTGTGTCTGATTTTTCTGAAATGCCTTTTTAAAACTCAGATATTAAACAACAGTCTGGGTTTCCCTCTTGTTGTTGCTCCGGGTCTTTTGTAATGCTGAAAAATGACATCACTTTCTTGGATGAACTAAGCTTTCATTCTTCTGTTATAGTAAATTCAGCTTTCATTCTTTTCCTAAACCAGTTCAAAACCATTATGATTTATCATTATAAATATTAGTTGGATTAGAAATTAAATAATGAAAAGTGCTGAACCATTAGGAAGCTACTGCAAAGGGGTTCTCTCCTTTCTGTGTTTCATATTCATATGTTAAAAAATGTATTTAAAATGTCATTTCCAGTTTTGTTTGGTGAAACAATCAGAATAACTTTTTGCAGGCTGGAAAACTGTTTTGTTCTTACCTTTATTTTTTTATTAGGGAACCTTTTCCTACTTGTGATTTTCCATGAACATCCTCAAAGACTTTTAGAACCAGGGGCCTAATACAATTGTCATTCGTTTGTCTACTAAATACATTTTGATGAAATAATGCTATTAAGAAATACTGTAAGAAGGGATTAGATACATTTTTTGGGGGGTGAAAGAAAGTGAATTAAAGAAACAAAAAAACCCCTCACTGTAATGTCATGGCTGCTTGTTCTAGGCGATCATCAAACACCTGCACGATCAAGGGTTTCTTTTCTTACTCGCCTCCTCGGCATTAACGAGGGATGAAGGTAAGAGTGTAACAATGTAGAAATCTGTAATGGAGTATTTGGCTGTTTAAATTCTGGGATACTCCCCCTCCCCTCCTTCCCACCCCATTTTTATTGAAAAACCCACTACATCTCTTTTTTTCTTTAAGCAGCTTTTGATCCTGATGAGCCCATCAGTCTCCTTGCCTTGTTTCTCTTCACTGGGTCTAGATCAACATGTGTAACAGGTAGGTCTGCTTTGTTTGTAACTGTTACATAGATGAAAATATTCAACTTGCTAAAAGTATTGTATTTTGATTTACCCAATTCCTGTTTGAGGCCTAAAGGGGCATTGGTTTAGCCATCTAAATCATGAATGCCAGTGCAATTAAAAGGCATTGCTTAGCTGTAGATTTTTGCTGGACGCTTTCACTAAGAGGCGAGAGTTAAATCCAAGAGCTTTGATGGGTAAAGTACTACTTATAAATCCTAGCAGCAATGAATTTAATATTGACCTGTATTCCATGCCTAAAAGAGAGGTGCTAGAATCATACAACAGTAGGGCTGGAAGGGACCTCAGGATGTTGCAGGTAGTCCAATCCACTGCTCAAGGTGGGATCATCCTTGACTAAGCCATCCCAGTCAAGTATTTGTCTAATCTCCATTTATCAGCATCCCTATATGGATATTCCACAACCTCTTTAGGTAACCTGTTCCAGTGCTTAACTACTCTCATAGTGAAAAAACTCTTCCTAAACTCCAACCTAAATTAGTCTTGTTGCCACTTAAGACCATTGCATTTTGTCCTGTCCCCTGAGACTACAGAGAATAGTCTATTTCCATCCACCATATAGCCACCTTTCAGGTATTTGAAGACTTATCAAATCCCACTTTAGTCTTTTCTTCTCCAAGACTGAGGACATGAAAAATAATAATTAGTTAAATTGAATAAAGGTTGCAAAGTTGAGTGCGCACAAATCATGAAATAATACAATTTCAACCTCCGTGTTATATGCACATAACATTTTGTGTAATAAGTTTACACCATATTATATATAGAATCATAGAAAATGGGGGCTGGCAGGGACCTCAGGAGGTCACATCTAGTCCAACTCCCTGCTCAAAGCAGGATCATCCCCAACTAGATCATCCCATCGAAGGCTTTGTCTAGCCAGGTCTTAAAAACCCCCAAGGATGGAGACTCCACCCCCTCTCTGGGTAACGTTTTCCAGTGCTTCACCACCCTCCTAGTGAGAGAGATTTTCCTAATATCCAACCTGAACTTCCCTTGCTGCAACTTGAGCCCATTGCTCCTTGTCCTGCCATCTGCCCCCACTGAGACCAGTCCAGCTCCATCCTCTTTGCAACCCCCTGCAGGGAGCTGAAGGTGGCTATTAAATCTCCCCTCAGTCTTCTCTTCTGCAGACTGAATCAGCCCAGTCCCCTCAGCCTCTCCTCACCAGTCCTGGCCCCCAGCCCCCAAACCATTTTTGTTGCCCTCTGCTGGACTCTCTCCAGTTTATCCACGTCCTTTCTGTATTGGGAGGCCCAAAACTGGACACAGGACTCCAGATGTGGCCTCACTGGTGCTGAATAGAGGGGAAGAATCACTTCCCTCAATCTGCTGGCAGCGCTCCTACCAATGCAGCCCGGGATGCTGTTAGCCTTCTTGGCAAGAAGGCACACTGCTGGCTCCTATTCAGCTTCTTGTCCACTGTTTCTTTTCTGCAAAGTTGCTGCTTAGCCAGTCAGTCCCCAGTCTGTAAGGGTACATAGGACTTCTGTCCTAAGTGCAGGACTTTGCACATGTTCTTATTGAACATCATGAGATTTCTTTTGGTCAAATCCTTCAATTTGTCTTGGTTTCTTTGAATCCTAGTCCAACCCTCCAGCATATCTACTATTCCCCCCTGCTTGGGGTTTCATCTGCAAAGTTGTTAAGGGTGCACTCCATCCCTTATACAGTGGTGGCATTCATATTCCTTGTTGTATGGCATTCAAGTTGGTGGCATTCAAGTTCCCTTATGTATTTGGGATTCATATTTTTGCTGCTTCACCTGTAGCCTTCTCATTAGTTCAGCTCATCAGAAATTGCTTCTAACATGGCAAACCTCTGAACAGCTTTTGAGCAGCCTCACTCTCAAAAACTGAGCTTCTCTTTCTCCTGTCATACAAAGTTTCAGCCTAAAATGACACCAACTGCCTTCGGCTTAGAATAGTATTGCTGTTTTGATTTGCCGACATCTCGTTACCCATCAGATCTAGAAATACTTTCTGTATCCTACCGGAGAAATAAGATCCTACATATTTATGGCATGTAGCCTACGTGTCCAGCCTATTTAATCGCATTTAGGACTTTAAAAGATGTATTACAGATTTTCTTTCCCTTGAAAATCTCCCTGGTCTCTCACAACTCGTCCTTAGGGGAGAGATGTCACAGCTCCCCCCCCATAGGAGCATCTCACTTGAGAGAAACTCTGTTGGCTCTAGGGCTGTGTTATAACTTCAGCAGACTCTCCCCGTGTCCTGTGCTGTCCTCCCTGGGCTATCTGTTATCTACTTCTCCCTTCACAGCCCATCACAGAAGGAAAAGACTCCCCACAACTCACTTCCCTAATTGAGTCATCCCAGCCTCCTAGGGACGTCACCCACATCCTTCCCAACTGAGTCTGATAAGTGCTGCAAGCCGTCTTGCCATCAGGCATCAGGGATAGCTGGTGGAGGGTAGAGGTGGGGTTGATGTTGACCCCTAAGCCTGTGCTGAAAGGATGTGGAAAACACTTCAGCCCCAAAAATGCTGCCATTCTTAAGGCATTTCTGAAACAGATTTCCACTTGAGTGTGTCTGATAAAACTGAGGACCAGTGCTATGTGCTGGTGTCGGTTGTGTTTGGCTCGTCATGTCAGATATCCCGTATCATTTTTGGCTTTGGTTTAGGTGAGTCATGCTAAGCTCAAGCCAATAAAACACGGTGCAGGGTCTGCCTTCAGTTCTTGTTGCTGGGTCGGTCCTATGGCAGCAATGTGCGCGGCACTGTGCAGTGCATAGAAAACATCCCTACCTTGAATATTTTATAATCTAGAACTGTGGTTCTCAACCTTTATAGGCTTAAGGCACCTGTAGACCGACCCAAGGCACCCTTTGGGAAATGCCAGCTCTTCCTTTTCACTCTTTTTTGCCTACAGAAAAATAATAGAGCTTTTTTTTTTTTTTGTTGCAAAGAACTCAGAAAGACCGCAGCCATGGATTTCTGTGTGAAATCTCTGGCTTATCTCACAATTCATGTTTGTGAACCTAAGAGTGCTAACATTGCGGCATCCTGTTTGAGAATTGCTGAGCTAGAAAGCAGACAGGACACATGGGGAAATCTAGGGAGCGTAGGGGTCATTTCGCTTGTATTTTACTTTTACGCTTAACTAGAAAGTGTCTTTGTTCTGGGAGCCATGGAAGAAATGAGCTTATCAAAGGAAGAGATGACTGCAGCTTGGGAAACTGGTGTGAGGAGGGAAACACTGAGCTACAGAAGGGAGAGAAGGAAACCAAATGGCTTTGCGACTCAGATAGCTGGCAGAGCAACAAGGAGAAAACACAACAGGAGACTGAGTCCAGACTTAGGCTGGAGCAGATTAATGGCAGGATGTGAAAGAGAGTGTTGCTTTACTTGGGAGTGTGCCTTGCAGGCAGGAGGGAGGGAGCGAGCGAGCGAGCGGAGGGGGATAGAGCCAAGGTATGAGGTGCACAAATGAATGGGGATCACCATTTCAGTGGCACTGTTTTGCTCTGTGGACACCAGGGGCATCCCCAAAGCAGGAGGCATGCTTTTTTGCTGTAGTGCTAATAGGAAATGGCAAGAGTCTGGGGAAATATTTTAGCTGCTGGTAGAAAGGGCACAGCTTGGAGGTGTGGTGGGGAAAGCAGCAGCTGGGCCTGGATATAAAAATGCTGCAGGAGCATGAGGAAGAGTTGACTGTTACTCTGTGATTTGAACCCTGAGCAATGGGAAGGAAGATAGTGGCAGCAGTAGTAAGGGGAAGAAAGGATGCTCTTTGGAAATGACAGCATTTATTATCAGATCACAGAATCATAGCAAAGTAGGGCTGGAAGAGCCCTCAGGACCTCAAACAGTCCAACCCCCTGCTCGAGCCATCCTGGGTATTAGATTATATCACTGTTCTGCCATTATTTCAACAGTGGCCTGTATCTTATAGTTTCATAGTTTCTAGGGTCAGAAGGGACCTGAACAGATCATCAAGTCTGACCCCCTGCCCTGGGCAGGAACGAGTGCTGGGATCATAACACCCCAGCCAGATATCTATCCAACCTCCTCTTGAAGACCCCCAAGGTAGGGGAGAGCACCACCTCCCTTGGGAGCCCATCATCTTCAGTGATGTTACACTAAGATTTTAACATTTCATCCACCATCCAGTTGTCATTGTGTTGGTCTGTTTCAACAGGACTCATTTGTAAGTTGCTGGTTAATTGTAATTATCTGCAGTTCAGTCTGACTTGCACCTTGGGACTGCACTTTCCCCTCTCTGGGGTTAAAAGTGATTGCATTTTAGGCTCTTTCCCGGCTGTGAGAGGAGGCCGGGTCAGATCTGTATGGCAAGCTGGGAGTTACATGAGCAGAGGATGAAAAAGGAAGAGGAGGGGAGAGATGGGAGCTGAGTTTGCTCAGTTGCTGTTTCCTCACTTGAGGCCTCTGAGAGCAAATGTGCTTGCCTTTGAAGTTCTTCATGTAGCAGTGGTGTTATAGCTGCAGCCAAAGTGGGAAATGTAGACCAAGCCTAACACGAGCACCGGGGCTTTAGCAAGTTTGCCTCTGCATTCTTCAGCCTGCGGCAGGCAGCAAAGGAGTGCGCCAGCCGCCCTGCTGGGAGGGAAATCCGTTAATTGAGCCTTGCGTTCGCAAAGGTTCAAGCTGCTGTTGAGAGGCTGTAGCTGGATCAGTAGGGAAATGCATTGCACAGATTGTGCATCTGGGGGGAAAAAACCTGTAAGCCACATCTGACTTAAGTTATCCATTGGAGAGGAGGGGTTGAGACGGACACCCCAATTCTTGCAGAGGTACTGATGAAGAAAGAGCCCTACCCACAGCGAGACTTCTGTTGCCCTGGGGTTGAAGACAGTGGATGGTGAAATCCTAATCATAGCCCTATTGTAGCCCCCCACCTTGTCATCAATAAGATGAGCAAATTGCCCAGTACATCCAGCTGAGTACATTGTTATGATAATGGCGCTTCCTAGTACCACCCCATTGCACTCTAACAACCTCCTATACCATGCTCCCCTCCTGCCTTCTGCAAAGGACACTACGTGTCTTAGCTTAGAAACGTCACCTTCCAGTACAATGACTTTTTCCTTTGTCTACAGTAGAATAGTACAGATCCTGAGGGCAGCAGCTAAACAGGCAAACAAACCACATAATTCAGCTTTATTTTGGGATGTCTTTTAATAAGTCATCCCTCAAACCTTACCTTTACATGGAAACAAAAATTCAGATACTCAAAATTTTGATTACCCAAATTTTCAGTATTCCATGGGATCACTCAGACAGCTGGATCAGACTGCATTTGATATGTAATATTCCACGCTTTACTCTAAATCTTCCGGATTTCTTCCCTGATGGAGAAGCTAATGGAAGAGCATTATCTTAGAATTTCCTTCTCAATTCTAAGGAGCCTCCTCAGCTTTGGACCTCCATAAATCTCTGTAATGCTGGCAACAGCGGGTGCATCTACACGTGCCATTAAGGTGATGTAAAGTCCGGCGTAGTTCATGCAGGAGTCTGCTGCTCCTGGGCACAGCATCTACATGTGCACCCCAGACTGTAGCAGCTTGAGCTGAGGTGCAGCAGCCCTGCGCTGGCAGCAGGTGTGAGGGGTGGTCAGCCCCAGGCTCCAGGTGGCAGTGTCGGGGCTAGCTGGGGCACAAGGGTGCTAAAGTGCAGAACTAGGTGGCAGGAAGCCCCCATACTTTAGCACCCTCGCGCCCCAGCCAGCCCTGTCACCATCTACGTATGTATTTCAGCAGAGTTAAGAACTTCACTGTAAGATAGTACAGTCCCAAACTTTCAGTAGAGTTAGTTATGTTACTGCGCCCAAATACCAGCACACATCTAGATGACGATGCTTTACTGCAGAGCTAATTAGTCAGCTCCGCAATAAAGCTCACATGTAGACACACTAAGTTACAAGCATCCGTCCAAGCAAAGAGAATGGTTCCTTTTTTAATTGATGTTCAAAATATTTTTTCTCTCCAGGACAGAAACAGGACTTGAAACTTGAAAACAAAAGCAGTGAGCTATCTCTAAAAGTCTCCTGTATTCTACCGGGCCTTCGCTACGCCTATCTTGAAGCCACGAAGTGCCCGTTGAATGCGGGCAGCCACGCCGGTCTTCTGATTAAGCATTACTTCCAGGAGTTTGCCAAACTTGATAAAAACACACCAGCAACTTCCAGCAAAAAAAACAAGCTTCCCCCTTGTCTTCACATATCGCCAGACATGCCTGAATGTCTCAATTCTTCTGACCAGTGGCAAAAACAGGTCGTTTCTCAGCTGCAGACTTACCTCCGTGATCCTGGCGCCTACACTTTGGAAATATCTGCAGCTTCAGACTGTTTGGCTGGCAACCCTCCACCCTTGTGCTGTGACTCAGCTGGGATTTGCAATGCTGATGTGTCTTTAGTTTTGTCTCCTGACTCTGTTCTTCCAGACATAGCTGCTGAGATAAGGGTTGAAACTGAAAAACCTAAGCCCACGGCAGGATTGAACCCAGGGAGCGAAGACGCCACGGCCAACATCAACCCAGCAAGTAATGTGAAGTTGCAGCAGAATAAGAGGAAGTCCAGCAGGGCCATGGTAACGAACACCAGGAAGAAGTGGGCCCCTTTAAAGATGCTTTCGGTGGTGGACACTAACCGAAACAGACAAAGGACCAAAAAGATAAAGGTGAACATGACTTTCCCATTTCCCAAGAAACAAGGGCTCACGACGTATTCAAATGAGCCCACGCTCAAGTTGGCCAATTTGCAGTTTCCGCACAGAAGGAAAAGAGGTAAGCATCACAAAACCCAAGGAGATCTTCACGAGTAAGCGCAATACACATACAGAGCTTAAAACGCTGTCACGGTGGTCTCAGGCAGGTAAAAGGTTAAGTAATAATAATATCTTAGGCAGGAAACTCAGTTTCTGAGCCTATGGTTACTAGTTGAATGAATAATACCGTATCTTCTCACATACACCCCCCCCTCCCCCAATAAAGCATGCACATTTGTTTTTGGAAAGAAAAAAACGGTTTTTCTAGAGTCGTGGCTGATTGTGTGACATGAAGTAAGTCCTCCTGGGAACATAGAGCAGCAGGTCCCAAATCCACCAGTGGTATGCAGACAAACCCGAGAGTGGTACGCGGAAGGCTGGGGGGAATGGCACACACGCACAGCACAGCCCCCCAGCTGCAGCCTGCTGCAGGCGGCCAGGAATGCAGCCTGGCCGCATGTGGAGCAGTGCCCAGCAGGTAGGTGTGTTGGGAGGAAGGGGCCTGTGGGGGTGTTGCAGATTGAGGCCCCCATGATGAGGGAAGGAGTGGGGCAGAGGCAGGAGTGAATGGGCTCCTGGGGAGGGGGACGGTGGGAGCCCCAGGTGTCTCATCCAGGGGCACGGGAGAGCTCAGGCCACTCTGCGCACCCTGCGGTAGGCACGGGGGGCATCTGCCCCATGGGTTTGTGCGCAAGGCGGAGGCAGCTGCCATTGCCTCAGGAGCTGGGCACGGCACCGTGCGCCTTCCGTACACTGGCTGTCCAGCAGCTGCAGGCACGTGGCGTCACGTGTGGCTTTCGAGGCACGGAGCTCAGCGTGCAGCGGCAGCCGCCTCCACCTCGCACATAAATCCAAGGTGCTGGTGGTCCCCGTGCCTACCCCGGGGTGTGCACAGTGGTGGAAGCCCCCCATGCCCCTGGAAAGGCCCAGGTCACCCCGGGAAGGGCCGCGTCCTTCTGTGCTGGCTCTGCGAGGGGACGCCGCCTAGCCGAGGCAGGATGCCAGGCTTGGGGGTGCTTCTGGCTCCGAGCTCAGCCTCCCTGTGAGCGGGGCAGAGCTGCCCCCCCCACAGGGCCTGGTCACAGGAGCTCCCAGGAACAGCCACCACAGCTGCCCCAGCCTTGCCCGCCCGCAGCTCCCCTCAAGGGGCCTGGGTAGGAAGCAACATTTATGATTATTAACTATATTAATATGCAATACGTCCTGCCATGTACCCCCCAGCCCAGTTTTGGTTTTCTGGTGTGCCAGCTCTCCTGCACCTTACAGGGTGCACATTGCGGTTTTTTCGGTACTCTGGCCAAAAATGTTGCCTGCCCCTGGTTTACGCTGCCTTTTTTCCAATTGACAGTTGTTTGAGATGGCTACCGTAACTGATAAAACAACGTTTGATGGTTACTAAAGGTTTTGATGTTGTTCTAATACATAGCCCATGACCTATGTGTATGAAAAATGTGCTGGTGGTACTTAAGGCTGTATCATTTTAAATTGGCGGTGCTTGATCTGTCAAAGTTTGGGAACCACTGGCATGGTGTGGTCAGGAAGTATGGCTGCAGGAGGTCCCTGGTGCCTGCTGCCTCACCCAGACGGTCTCTGGGGATGCCATGCTTTCTGGACCCTCTGTATTTCCAGGAGGACTTACTGTGTGTCACAGAAGGTAGGACCTCACACCCTTGCAAGGGCAGTAGCAAGACTGCTAGTTCTTTACTGTAAGTAGCCCTTTACACAAGTCCCTGTAAGTACAGTGTTGTTTCCACGTCACAAGCCTCACCAAGACGATACCAGCAGCTCACTTGCTGCCTCAGGCACAGGCTGTACTGCTCAGCCAACAACTGTAGCTGTGAGAGGGTTAACACAGGACCCCACTGCCTTGGCAGCTGCAAGACCCGCTCTGTGTCTTGTACAGGATGGTTTGGATAGGAGTGATCCCACCTCGGGCAGGGGGTTGCCGTAGATGACCTCCAGAGGTCCCTTCCAGCCCTACTTTTTTATGATTTGGTGGGGGGGGAAGTTGCATATTATATGGGAGAAAATATGGTTTCCCTTCCTGGTTTTAGTTTAGGCTTCCTTACAGGGGAATGGCATTCTTAGCACGACCCCCATGACAGTAGGTGAAGAAAACATTGCAGTGAACTTAGTATGAATGCCTCGATTATAAAAAATAGCGTCTGATCTCCAGCAGCCGCCCCGGACATTGTATAGTAGTAGTGTTCGTATCGGTTAGTCGCTGCAATGGGAGCACGTTTTTAATACAGGCCAGACTGAACTGGAGCGTTTCACAGTGTTTTCTACTCCTCGTGTCTTGGAGTCCATGAGCCTGGCTGTAGCGCTTACATTTGAGACTCCCAGTTCCAGCCGGCACTGCACTTCACTGCCTTTGAAAATGATGCCAAAGCTTTTGCTTATAGTAATAATGCTGAGCAGTGTGAACCAAGTGCATAGAAGTCACCGGGAATACTAAAGAGATACCTCTAGGTCTCAGATATACCAAGCAGGAGGACTCTCGAGACTCCTTGAATTTTCAGAGACAGCAGAAGTGTTGACAAATCGTGCACTTAGAAGCTCACAAGCCAGACTTCAATTTTTAATAAGCCCTTGCTGGTCCCTTTCAACCCTAATGCATGCTGCACCCTCAGCCAGTTTTGCAGTTGACGACAGCTCTTTTGTCACTGCTTGCTTGTGAGCAGTTTCTTTTCCATTCCTAAATCTAGTAAGTCAGTATTCTGTTTTAAAGAGAGGTTTAATGAAAAGGACTTTTCTTTATCCCAGGGGCTGAAGTGCTGTCTGCAGAATTTGTGCATCGAACGCAGTCTGAACCCACACCCAAAGGCACCTCCTCTCCTGACGATGCTGCTTTGACAACCCAGAGACCAAAGAAGCTGAAGGAAATGGATGCAAAAAAAGTTCCAAACACTGAGAGAGTCTCAAAGCAAGTGAAAAGTAAGACGATAAAAAGTATAGCTCCAGGCAGCTGTAAGCCCAGAGCCAGAAAGCAATTGGAACCGGGTAAGAAAGTTCTTTCATCTAAAATGTGAGGCATATTGTTCATGCTTGAGCTGGCTTTGATTTATTCGCCGTTCCAGCAGCTTTGAGCCCCACCCTAGTCTCAGCCAGTCTCCTAGGAAAACGTGCAGCTCACGGATGGCTCAGAGCGCTGCTTTAACGGCTCGGAACACTTCGAGCTGTTAAACCGGTTTAAAGCAAATTGGCTTGCGTGTCATAGCCTCGATTCGCCATGGGAATCTCACCAATTTTGCAGCGGGGTGGGGTTTGCCTGTTACATTATAAATCCAGTGGTTTTAAAAGTACTGGGATTGTCACACCCGTGCAAACTAGACCAGTGAGTTTCCAAAGGAATGTGGAAAGCTTTTTGATATAACACGTGCAAAAGTTGGCTCATGGAGAGTCTGCGTCTAAAACTGAGAACTGGTGTGACCGTGCCAAAATCAATGGTGGAACAGGAGGTTCATTATACTCTTAAATGAGGTGTGTGTTTTGCACACTCGTGCTGCAACATCCTTCTCTTCAGCTGCCTCCAACCTTTCTTGCTGTCTGGCCCCTTTGTTAGGTAGAGAGGAGACTTTGAAGTGTGTTCCTACTTCCTGGACTCGGATTGCAAATACTTATTGGTCTCTCTTGCTATGGTCCATAAAAAATAAACAGTGCTTTCTGTCGTGTAAGCTGTATTCTTCAGCTTGCGTGGGCCGGTGTGTGTATGATTTGAAACTCACACACACACACACACACACACTCTCTCTCTTCAGTAGAGACACTGGAAGGAGAGGTGAGATGAAATCTCAAAGTTGTGACACTGTAGGGATAGAACTGGGAGGAGGAGTGCCATTGTGTGCCCAAAAAAGGCTAAAATTTTAGAAACAAGAAAAACCCAACCCATGCGGCTTTCCCACATTTTAGACCCTCAGTTTCAATCCCTAAATCCTTGTTCGGACCTGTTTGTTCAGGCTTTTGCATGGAAGGTGTTTCTGATATCCTCTTTTATTCTGATTGATTGAATAATTGCATCTCATTATGTACACACGCTCAACAACATGCTGATGAGTGAATTTTAATCATTCAAATATAAAGAACTGTATTTGCTATGCCACGGGGTCAGATTCTAGGAGCTGCCAGACCCGTGCCTCAGTCTGCATAAAGAGCATGGTCTTTGAAGGGAACGTGCACAAACTCTGCTCTCGAAAGAACTAATTATGCATCAAGGGGATCTTTTATTTGCAATTGCAGAGAGAATCAAAAGCAAAACACCACGTTGCTGCAAGATGAAGGTTGCGTGTGCAAAACGTTATGTTAAAACAACTTATTTGGGACATACGTAGTGTTGTTGCCTGCCAGCTGGGTGGTTAAATGTACATTTGATTATAAGTGTATGTGCAAAGTGGGCAAATTCAGGTTCTTTTAGATTTGCAACCCCTCACTTTATGGACAGCCCTTGCCACAATATAACCTCAAGTCCTATGCTAAAGTATGACTGTAACAATAGTAATGGTGACATTGACCTCTGGCGTCTCTTGAACTTTACTGCAAATAGGCCAGCTTGTTGTTGGAGAACTGTCTTTTTACTTGTCGCCTGAACACACTTGATTTGTAAGAGAACGAAAAGCAATAAATGCCACGATGCCATTTCAAAAGTCACTTGTAGGAGTAGAGCTGTACTTTACGCATTTCTTCTGATAGAATATGTAACCTTGTATTTTTCTCATGCAGCAAAAAAGGAGTCATTCTCCCTCTCACCAAATAAAGTCCCCGTGAAAAGTCAAAGGACAGCTGGTGATACAAATGAGGCTTACACAGAAAATGTTGGTACTCAAGACATCAACCTGTCTCTGAAAGGAAGTAACTATGAATCTCATGCCTTGAACTTGCTAGCTGACCTCGCCCTGGGCTCTTGCATTCCCCCAATTATTCCTAAAGACAATAGTGCCGCCTTACCTCTGGGCACTGCAAAGGAGCAGCGCCGTCTTCATAAGAAGAAGCCCTCACGAGTGGCTTCTGATCATGAATATCACCGGGTGGATAAGCAACCGAAGGGAGGATCCTCATCTAGCAAAACACATAACCATAAACTTTCATCTCCTGAAAAATCTGAATTGAAAAAGAACTTCGCTTCTAGCCCAAAAGAGAAAATCCCTGTGATTTCCAACAAGAAGAACAGCACCAGTCCTAACTCTACAAAAGCCCGGACGTTGCCCTCTAAGGAGGGCATAGAGATGTTAGAGGGGAGCAAGTACTCTACTATCTCCTCGGAGCATTCTTACGCCTCCTCGATGTCTGAGCACCCTAAAAAACAGGGTCACTCAAAAGGAGCGCAAGGTTCTTCCCTCTCCAAGAATGGAGCCAAAAACGCCAAGACCGGCCCACTCATTGGGAAGGTGCTGCCTTTCCGGCATCAGCAGAACAACACTCACATGCCAAAGCAATTCAAGGACTTGGTGGTAAAGCCCAGGTTGAAAGAGGACTTCTTCAAATCGCACACAGTGAACAGCTGCGACGGGTCTGTCAAGGTGACATGCCAGTGGGAAGCTGAGTACCTCTTCAGTCTAGATAGCCAGTACACCAAAGACTCCTTAGAGAAAACTGTCATTCGGGCTCTACACGGGTAGGTGCTGAGGCCAATAACGTTGCGCTGCAGTTAATGCCATGTCTCTGCTGTGCTCTTGAAGTATTTTGGAAAATTGGGTCTGTGTGTGCTTGTCTATACTAGGGCACTTCTGCCCCTGTAATAGAGTCAGCAGTGGAGATGTGGTATGTTGGCAGTAGAAAAAATGGTTTTTCCTGACTTTGCTTCATTCTCCCCTGACTGACATAAGTTGGACAGCCCTGGTCTCACTTATGAGCAGCTGGGAGCTGCACACCGCACAAGCCCTTTGGGCAGGCTCTGCAGCCCCTCTCCCTCCCCACGCCAACCACATGAACAGTATGGGCAGCGCAATCCTCTCCTTGCATGGGCTGTGGAGTCTGTAGGCCTCTGCAGGCTGCTCAGCCCACAGCCAGTGGCAGGGGGG